TTTGAAGTTGTTCATACTTGTCTGCTTATTGCATAAAACCACAATAAAATCTACAATAGAAATATCACAGGTAGTGGAATAAAATGTAAACACCATATTCTATGAGGGGTGGGCTGTTGCACTCACAAACGAGGCAGTAAAGCAGGCAGAGTCAATAAGCGCTGTAGTGGAGATCTCTTGTAATCTCAGCTTCCAAATGCTCTCAGTACATGGGAGTAGAAATATAAAGTGACAGATATAGCGCAACACAGTATATCATAAAAATGAAAACTTTAATGAAATTGCACTCACATTTTCCATAATAAAATGGGCACATCAATAAATACTTGATCCACAATCAGAGCGAAGAAACACTCTTGAGCCATGTCCCAAATGGTGTGTAGAGGATTCAAGAATTAAAGAGTCCCAGCATACAGCATTTAAAACATAAAGTAAATTAAAATGTCATATAAACGTAACCCTATGCGCTTCGTCCGCTTGCGACGACTTCATTAGGGGTATCCAAGTTAAGCTGCAGCCTGTGGTTGTTTGCTGCCCGACTGGGTTTCAAAAACCTGCCGTGACTCCTCCTTCGGATAGAAAAGAGCGAAAAAAGATTGTGGATCTAGAATCAAAAATATATAAAACAAGTCAAATTTATACGACATCTTAATTTACTTTATGATTTAAATGCTGTATGCTGGGACTCTTTAATACTTCAATCCTCTACACATCATTTGGGACATTTATATTTACATTTGGAAGCTGAAATCTTCACTACAGCGATGATTGATTCTGCCTGCTTTACTACCTTGTTTGTGAATGCAATAGCCTACCCCTTACAGTATAAGGTGTTTACATTTTATTACACTATGTGTGATATTTCTATTGTAAATTTTATTGTGATTTCATGTTTTAAGAAGATTCAGAGGAGTTTTTAAATCTACAATAAGTGGAAAGGGTAATATTTTTTTTGGTACAACCCCCACAACTATCTTATCACATTTGGTGTGTGTGAATGATTTGTTTACTGATTTGTCTGCCTGTTTGCTGTCAATCAAAGTCTGATCAAAGAGGTAGTCGGGCACGACATACCATTGTTACGAGCTACCTATCTATTGCATATACCTCCCAAAGAAAACCCTCAGTGTAAGGCAACATTGATTATTCATATTTTTATAACGGCTAAAATATGTATAGATGAGTTGTGGAAAAATAAACAAATTCGCGATGTGACGAAAGTTATTGCTAAAGTGTCATATACAAAAGAGTTTGAAACTATCTCCCATAAACTCTCCAATAATATAAACCGTTTTTACGAGAGATGGGATAGCTGGAACAAATCGCACTTTAGCGTGGTAGGCTGTCCTTTATTTATTTGTAACCCGGTAGTTAAAAATATGTATAATAAACAGAAATTTCCCCTCCTAAGCCTCCTATGTCTCCTCACCCCCTCTCTATCCCCGTAATGCAGTGTCGAACTACAGTAAACTATATTAAGTTGTGATTGCTAGAGTTGATTCAAAACACATAATAATGCTGGCTGTTGGATTGTCAAATATTGTAATATTTTGTACAGCTTGGATTGTGTTCTTTTTCTTTTTTTTGCGCTCACATAACGTTTATCATGTTGTTGATGTAAGGAATAATATGTTCATGTGACACTTTTGCAATGTTGATGATAGCAAATTGTTGGAGTAAGTTAGATATCTAATTCATTAATTAGGTTATATGCCGTAAAATAAATTTGTACAAATTTTGAAACACGAAAATTTTTAAACAAACAAAATTGTCGAAACAGAGACATTTTTCAATTAAAATTAAAATATATAAAAAAAGAAATGGTTACCGTGTATACTGTGTTCCTTTAATACCTATTTACTATTGCACTATTATTATTTACAATTTCCTCATAGAAAATTAGTAAATTAATAATTTTTTTAAAACTGCTAGAGCAACAATCATGTTTAGTTTCATGTAAATGTAATGTAAATATAATCATTATGTACCACATAGTTACCAACCTTATAAATGTTACATAGTTTCATAGTAATATAGGCTATGATGTTCAGCTTTGAGGGACACTATAGGCGCCCAGACCACTTAATCTCATTGAAGTGGTCTGGGTGCCGTGTCCCTGTCCCCCTTAGTCCTGCAATGTAAAACATGTTTACAATCATTGTTTACATTGCAGTACTAAACCTACCAGACTATTACTGCCTACCAGACAGCCACTAGAGGCACTTTAAGGAATTTCACAGACTTTCACTCCATGAAACACATTCTTCATGAGGACACCTAGCATCAGAGAAAACCCAAAAGGAAAGCACTGAGGCAATGCTTCCCGGTGGGAAGGCTATTGCACTTGTGGCAATTGCTGCACATATGCATTAGGTCCCCCCAATTTGTGTTATCGGAGGAGACGAACTATGACCAATCAGGTAAATGATTAAATGGTTATTTAACCCTTTACAACATGGGGAGGGTGGCTGCTGGGGCTGAGGAGGCTGAGGAACACATTTGTGTTAGTAATACATCTTTGTATTCCTAACACTAAAGTGTTCCTTTGACACTTATCTGACACCACATACTAACTATTATATCCTTGAATATTTATTTATTTTATTTTTTTTTATAAAAAGAAGCATCTGCAGAATCTAATAAAACGATCTCTATAAGGAGTGAAGTCCACATCTGTATTGTTCTAATTCAAACATACACTTTCCTCTGCCACAGGTGAAATCTCATCTCTTCTAGTCTAAATGGATTACCTCCTTTGTACAGTGCTATTAATAATCATATTACCAGAGACCTGTTTGTACTAGCCCTGCAAATGTTTGCACATTTTCTTAAAAGCTTTTCTGCACAAATCTTCCATTCCCCTGATTAAATTTCTAGCTTGCACTATTTCTAATTCCATAACATTCTTTTTAAAAAGAGGTACCCAAAATCCATGTACTCATGTAGTACCTTACTATTGATTTATAAAGAGACAAGATTATATTTTTGTCCCATGAATATATACTTCTATTAATATATAGCAATACTTTACTGGCCTGTGCAATGGTCACCTGTCATGGCACATTACTACTTAGTCTGTTGTCTATGACAATTTGCAAGTCCTACTAATTTATCTGTGCCTTTAGAGTATACATTGTTTATGCTTTCTTTACCTAAAAATGCATAATTTTGCATTTATTCACATTGAATCTCTTCCTGCTCACACTGTATTACATGATGTAGCAGTATACATAACTTAAACACTGGAAGTGAAAGTCTCTATTAATGGGGATTTTCTTTAACAACCCACTTAACAACATTAGAATGTGCTTTGCTGTCCTCCAAAAGGATTGCTTTAAGGGCATTAAGGCAGCATAGCATCCCCTAACTATTGGCACTCGCTACTGGTCCAGATACTTACCTTCCTTGCTGGATGCAGCATTGCAGCAAATCCCGCCAATCCGCGTCATGTAAGTTACACTCGAACCAGCTTGATAGCCAGGTTTCCTGTTCAACATAGAATTAGTAAAATAATGTCATTATAAGAGAAAAAATTTATTTTGAATCAATTTATATATACAGTATATTAATATAAAATGCACTTAGAATGAAATTATATATATATATAGATATATAAATTTTATCCTAAATGTATTTTATGTTGCACCCGAACAAAATAATATATAATTACTGTGGGTACACTTAATATGCAATAGGTAAATTATGGTTAAACATACATATAGATCAGAATTTTACTTTAGTTTTGTTTTGGTCAGAACCTGTACAATTGCCTCAGTCCTCAGGATCAATTGATATAATGAGTGCTGGAGTTTTTTGATGTGCGTCTGAAATCTCTGTTTCTAGTTTGTGTTGGACCGGGTGTCTTTGCATCCAAAGATGTAAACGCTGAGGAATGTGTCTGCTGGTTTCTCTGGTCTCCAAGTACTTTGCACCGTTTCCAGAATATGACACTTTGATATATCCCCCACATGTCTGCAGCCTTTACATTGTCCCTTAATAGAACCATAAAATATACTGGTGCGTTATAAAAAAATTTTTTAATAAGGTTTCTATGTGTCCATTCAAAATATATTGGAATATTAGTTAAATGCAAATTCACAAAGAGTCAAAAGTTATTTATTCATGAAAATATGTTCAGAATTTGTGATATTTCAATTCCAAAACTGCAGAGGTGATTACTCTTACAGCCACAATTCTCAGTGCCGCTAAAAATGTACCATTGCAATCTATATCTATTATTCAACAAAGGCGAGTTCATTCAGACATGATGTCAAGATGATTTAGTTTGATAGATATTTTAGATTTCTCCCTTTACACACAGCAACATTCAAAGGAAAAATATGTTAAAGAAAAATATTGAATGTGTTCCTGTAAGTTTGTTTCTGAAACATTAAATGAACACTCCTTGGAAGATTAGCCACCATTCTTTTAACGCATTGTTGAGTTAATGCATTCTAATGCTTTCAAAATATCTATTAAAAAAAGATACTGTTAACATTTTCTTTTCTGCAGAAAATCTCCAGGATCTGCTGCTTCTGCACAAATGTCCTCTTCAATTGGGAATTTACTGTGATCACTCTGCCAATCCTCATATTGCTTTTACATGTTACTTTAAATTTCCAATTAGGTATGCATACAGTGCATGCGTAGCAACAAGTACTATATAACGCGAGCCTGCATTCACTTGGCGGCATAACATTTGTAAGAATAGCCATTAAATAGAAAATGCCATATAGGGACACTTCCTTGCCCTTCCCAGATCCCCTCTTCACACTGGGCACAGCTGCATTGCCTGGGTTTCAGCATCCATTTCCCCCCCATATTTCATGTACACCCCCATTTTATGTCAATTTCCCCCATATTTCATGTTCATTCCCCAATATTTCATGTACACTCCCCCATATGTCATATCCCCCCCATATTTCATGTCCATTCCTTCCCCCATTTCATGTCTATTCCCCCATATCATGTCCACCCCCCCACTACTGACTCACTGAGAGGAAGGGGGGGGTGGTGAAATCTTTATCATGGAATAACTAATAGTACTAGTGAGTCGATGATAAAGATTTCACCGCCCTCCCTTAGTCCATGCACTTACCTGGTCCTGGGAGTACCTCTCTCTTTCCTCCCGTGCGGCCATCTGCAAAGAGCGCTGGGAGGAAGTGACATCATCGCGTGCAACCTCACTTCCTTGCAGCGCCGGGAGGGGAAGGAGAGAGGGGTTTTGCTTGCACATCTCCACTGGTGGGCAGCAAATGGGAGCCCGTGGCGCTGGCATAGTGGGAAAGCCAGCGATCCTTCTCTTCACTAATATGGGGCCTAGTTAATTCAAGGGACATTACATTGTCCCGGAATGAAGATGCTCGGGACCCGGGACAGACCCACAAAATATGGGACTGTCCCGGGGCGATCCGGGACACGTGGGTTCCCTAGATTAGGGTGTGCCCAGGCACACCCGGCACACCCTGTGTGCATGCCTATGAATATATTGTAATATAAGTTTTGTTTCTGAAAATTTTGTTTTGCAAAAGAGGAAAGTTGATCCACAGCTGAATAACATATAAAAAATTTGAGTTTTTTTGTGTTTCAAAATATAGGTTAAAAAAAATAAGCAGGTCTTAAAAAAAAATGAACCAGCCTTCCCCTCATTCTGGGTTCAGAAACATTAAGGAAATGCCAACTCAACATGTTACATAAAGTTGCACAACCACTTGTTAGATCTTTGCATTTTTAAACATACTTCCTAAAGTTACATGTCTACTTGCTTGGTAGCATCTTGGTGAGAGGAATAAGGGAGAAATACACTCAGTGAACCATTTCAAGCACCACACAGATGATGCCATTTTACCCATGTACTCACATGTACATGTGATAATATAGAATTGGGTTTATGGAAGCTTATGGGAGACTGTTGGATCCTTGATAATTCATCTCACTCATAGACATCTATTGCACCTCTTGAAAAAAGATGCCTGTCCTTATCAACTGACGTGCGTGATGGGAAATGACAAGATGGAGAGACAGAGGCTGCTTGAAGCGGTGCTCTTTTCATATTTGCTTTAAATGTGCTGATAAATAGGGCAATGCTATAATGCTGAGAAGAGAATTTTATAGTGACATTGCATTCTCTGGTGCTTTTGCCACTTCAATAAGTTGGTCTCTGTGACACTGTCCTCTTGTGGTTTTCTTCCTATCTCTACCCACATTCATTCAGTGTCTCCTTTTCTAATGGTACCTCCTCTCCCCATCCTGTCTTGGTTGGAATCTACCGAGGCTCTGTTTTTTGTCCCTTTCTGTTTTCTCTTTAGATTGCCTCTCTTGGCAATCTTATTACTTTGTTTGATTCAGCTACCACCTAATGACACCCAGATATATCTCACTTTCCCAGATCTCTCCCCCACTGTCCTACAATGTGTCACTACTTGCCTTTCTTCAATCTCCTCCAGTTCTGCTTCACTCTCTCCTTGGTTGGTTGATATCTCCCTCAATGTCTGTACTAGTGTGGTTTCTAGACTGTAAGCTTGTTTGAGCAGGGTACTCATCAACCTATTGCATTTTGTATTTGTCTAATTTATTGTTACATTTACTTCTTAAACACTTCCTGTAAAGTGTAATTTAATGTTTACATTTCCTTTATTGCAAATTTTGTTTAATTTAGAATTTCTTATCTCCTGCTCTGTTAATAGCTTGCTAGACCTTGCAAAAGCCTCCTGTGTGTGATTAAAGTTCAATTTACTGAGATACAATTAAGAACAAGTAAGTTAACATCTGATTGAATATGAAATTCACATGAGCTGTGTGAGCCCTAGGTGTGGCTTAGGCTTCATGGTCGGGAATAAAAGTGATTTAACACCTAAGTAGCAGATAATTGAGCAGTGAGACCTCAGGGGCATGATCTATACACTGCTTAATTCAGCTAAAGTTGTTTTGGTGAATATACTATCCCTTTAAGTTTAGACTTGGGGGTAGCCATATGGGATTATGAGGGTGTAATGTTAGCATTAGATGGATTAGAGTGGGGTTTAGAGATCAATTGTGTTTAGAGTTGAAGGAACTTAGGGCATTGCCTGTGTGAAAATCATAGGTCCACATCACCGTAAGTCCCCTTAAAGGAACACTATGAGTACCAAAACCACTGTAGTCCGGGTCACCCCCATTATAATAGTTATGGTGTCTCAGCCACCCATATTGTAAGTTGTTAAATATAGAATGGTTTGACTTTTAACTGGGGTCTGCTGGATCCCTGCCTCCTCTACAGCTCAGAGAGAGCTGGAAGCCCCTTCCTACTCAGTGCCTGGGCTGAGAGCATCATCTGATTATTCTCAGCCTGCACCACCTGTCTTAGCTCAGGGAATAGAGCTTCCAGCATTCACTGAGCTGTATTGAGGCAAGGCGCTGTGCCCTGTAGATCCCATGTAAGAAGTCGAACCGATCTAAACAGCTTTGGTACTTGGCGTGTTCCTTTAACATTAAACTGTCTAATCCTAAAACCAACATTAGTCTAACTCATCCTATTCTCCAACAGAAAAAACATTGCTGTACCCCAACTATCCCTGAGGTTTGGGTATTGCTGCAAAGTTTAGATATTGCATGAACTTCTATTTCTTTTTCTCATTGTAACACCTCCCCTCCCTCCCTCCCCCCACCCACATTGAATAAAAACAACTTTCTAGGAGGGATGTATCACAGTGTTTTATTCTAAAAAGTGGTGCCAAAAATCTAAATGGGAGGAGTCACCATTCAAATATGCTGTCTTGTTCCATTGGTTTCCATGGTGATTGCTCCACTTTTAGCACATTTTAGAATTGAACACTGTGATAAATCTCTGCATCAGGGTTGAATTACGGGATTATTTTTATTTCACAAATTTATTTTGACACTTTTTAAAATCTCCAGTTCATTGTACTCTCATTTTATGAACAAATAGCTTTACACAAAAATAATTATGACAGAAAAATTACCATTTTTGTCTAAATGCTTCTGCTACATCAAACCATTGTATGCTCTTAGTTGTTATTAATGTATATGGGTTTCTACTATGCCGGCAGAGGACGGGTCTTGAGCACACTGAATGCCTTATGATTAGACCCCATTCCATCTGAAAGAATGTTGAGTAAAAATATGCATATAAAATTCCAACTAAATGGTAGGCTCAAAGTAAAAATGCCATTAATTGTGGTATTTTGATAAAACATTTCCTCAGCATGCCTCATTACTATTTCATCATCAGAATGCATTTGTTCCTTGCCATAACTAAATAAATAATCTGAATGAGACAAGCCTTTCCTTGCTTTCTGTCATTTACTGTCTATGTGCCTATGAAGAGAAATCACTATTGATTTGCGTAGGATTTACTTATGTTAGACATATCTTTTGTATGAATACTAATATACCTCATTAAGAATCATTTACATAATTGCTGATTATAATATTGCTCGCTTTCCCAAGCAGAATAGCTTACATAAATCCAATATCTCCTTAATGCCAACAACGAGGCACATTGTTGCTAACAACATAAATATTACAGGGTTTGTTTGCTAAAGGTAGTTGTGGAGAATTACACTTTTTAAGTCAAAATAGCTGAACTTAACAAAGCTATTTTTCCAAATCAGTTGGTTTAGCCTAAAATGTTAAAATCCATTGCTAAGCGTCCACAATTCCTGGTTTAATAAAGAAACCCCTTGATTTTTACTCTTTACAGATAATATACACATTGCCTTAGAAGGAATTTAATCCCACAAGGCCCTAGGCAGGCTGCCATTTTGAGCTCCCCACTTAACTCATTGTTTACTTATTGTGAATGGGGCCAAACTTGGCAGAGTATTTTAATGGAGCCTGGGTCCGTGCCTACCGTCTGGACTTCAGGAAGCAACCTTAGGTCACCTTGCAGGTAATCTGGCTAGGTATCTCTTCACCTCCCACTCAAATTGTTCTTCTTTACCAGGTAACTAATTTCTCACACGGTGAGGCAATTTAAAATGAGCAGTGTTTCGTAAGATGTTTTGATTACAAGTATCTGATTGCCTAAGGAGAAATTCCTTGAAATCAAATAGCAACACAGCTAAGCAAAAGTTGTGTAAGACATTTCCTGGAACCTTGAACTAAAACCTTCTGAGTTACACAACATTCATTGCTCAGTGGATGCAGATGCTCTCTTGCAAAACTCCACAGAGTAATTATATTTAAAATTCAACATGATTTATTTATTTTGCATAAGTTACAAGTGTGATCTTGTTGTCAAAAAATAACATTGGCATTCTTTCTAAAAACAAAGTGAGCTAGAAATGTAACTAGACTGGCCAGATCCTCCATGCTTCCCTTCACACATTGCTCCAGACTCCTAAGGACAGATTTATTAACCAGGGTTTTCTAACTAGTATTTTACAATCAGGAGTTTATAATCAAACCTTTTCAGTGTAATTTTCTCATAAAAATAAAGTTTTTTATTAGAGAGAACATTGGGGATATATTTTAGCTTAGGCTGTGCCACCTGTTTAATTAGACTTAATGCCTCCTCCTGTGATGTGCTGCATTGCCACTATATATGTGGAGTGATATAACAGCTGTCAATGGGGATGCAGGAATTGACATCTCTTGCCCTGCTTCCCAACCTCTAAACACCTGGAACTTCAGTAACTCCAGCTTCCTCTTTCAGTGCCAACAGTGGTCATATGCAGGAGGAGGAATGGGAGGTATTTTGTTTATATATAAGTATAGCATGTCTACTTATGTATTCTGACTGTGTGTATAAATTTCAGATTGTATATCTATATGTGACTCTGTGTGTGTCTCTTTGTACATGTGGCTCTGCATGTGCTTGTGTTTGTATGTATGCATCTGACTGTGTGTACATGTGTATATGTGTCTGTGTGTATGTGATTTTGTGTGTGTGATTGGTGTCTCTTTGTGTATGTGATTGTGTGTCTATGTATTCATCTGACTGTGCATACGTGTATATGTTTCTATGTATGTGTGAATTGTCATTTTGCTAGGGAAATGGCTAGTTATATACAGTATGTATGTTTATGTAAGGGTGGTAAAATTGATGTGAAAGGTGTGCATAGCACTGGCCAAAGGCAGCCAAA